CAATTCATTAATAATGTAGTATGCAGTATCTGCTCATATTGTCTGCTTTCTAGCAGGTGTATATATTGGAATAAGGTTATTGAAACGATAGTGTGACCTCAACATTTTAAAAGCTGGGATTCTGTAGACAACATTCTGCCTCATTATGGTGTTATCTCTCTAAAAGGCTCATCCTGAAGTCGTCTTGTAAGAAGAATATGGTGATATCTTTAGCATATGCATAATCTAGTTACCTTTTCTCTTCAGAGCCAGGCTTTTGTTTGTCATGTCATCTTTATCTGCCAGGCATTAGCAACCATAGTTTTGATATAGCTGAAAGCAGTGGAGGTGTTGTATTATAGTGCTTGCATCCCTGATATTATAGAGAAGTTTCTTCGGGCACAGAATCTGAGCATCTTAGTGGTAAAGGAGGAACACATTAATAATTTCATGCGAAATGTTTTCATCATGTTTTTTCATGAATGCAGTGTTTAATAATTTGAAGGCATTTTAGAAGATATTTTTTCTAAACACCGAAATGCTCATTGATGTTTGTAAGGCACTGTGAAAATGGGAAGCACCATTCTAAAGTAATTAAGAGTATGTATTTTTAAACTAGGTTTTTGGAGGTGATAAACTTTGTCTGGACTGGATTATTTCCCCAGAACTATCCTTTCTATCTCTGTTAGGCACACATACTGAAACAACTGCAGTTTCAAACTGAGCCCGTGTGTCTTGGGTGTCCAACTGGAGGATTGTATATTGACTGTGCAGTGTAGCTGCAGCAGAAGCAATTTACGGCATTTGTATTTCTTTGATAGAGTATGAAATGTGGATCATAGTTTTTAAGCAATGCACTTAAAGTCCTACCAGCCAGTCTCTAGAATTCAGTAACTAAAGTGTGGTTGTTGAGAACAATATTCCCAATAATAACTGAATGGTGCCATTGTACAGGCCCTTGTTTTTCAGAATCAGTGAATATGAAGCAGAGCCATTTCTCAGTGAACAGTCTGAGTTACCTAATGCACTTTAACCCAAGCGTTTATTTTAGTTTGACTTGATGTTTAGAGAGGAAGATACCAGTTGGGAAGAAACCTGTCAGTTTGTCCAGCCCACCCATGACAGGTGAGGTGCGGAGGAGCTTCTCTGGTGATGACGAGTTGACTCCTCCTCCATATCGAACCCTTCCAGCACAGACAGCCCCGGAGGCCTTCCAGCCTCCCAGGACTAGCCGAGAGTTCAGTCCCAGCCTCAAAACAGGTAACTAGCCACATCAGTCTCTGTTACTTGCAGAGGGAAATGACAGACAGGGTGGGGAACTAAGCATGGTCTAGCATGTGATGTGCTGACTCATCAAATCTCTTTCTTTTTCTTTTTTTTTCTTTAAATTTTTGTTGGTTTTATTTTTTTCTGTTAGAGAGCTTTTCATTCTCACTGATGCACCACGTCACTGAATTAATTATAGAAGAGGATTGCAGCTGTTTTAGAACTTCATAGGAGGTGATACTGTAGGTTACTGAAGCATAAAGGCACAGAGGAGCTCTGCAGAGTTTTAAAGTACAAAAATGCACTCTGTAAAACTGAATGGTAATGTGGATTTGGGAATATTTGATGTAAGCAGAAAGTTAGTTTAGATTATCTTTTGCAGAGAAAGTAACTACACAGTAAATAAGGAGTGATTTTTGCCTTTGTGTCAGAAAAAGGCAGTTATCTGGGAAAAGATCTTCAGAATGTAAGCATTATTTGAAATTTTTTGGGTTACTAATATAGAAAATATATTTGAAAAGAGTTTGTCCTTTTAGAATTTGATCTTTTCCCTATTTTTGCTGTATAACCTGGGTTTGGTTTAAGTATCGACAGCATAATTGTGCATCTGTATGAGTGAGCAGAGAAAAACTCTTAAACTCATTTATCAGTAACATTGAGCAAGTAGATTAAAATTTTGAGCTTATTTAAGGATAGTTTATGTAATTTAATCAATCTTCAATTTTAGAAGTCCACTGCAAGGATCTGGTAGTCTTCCCTTTTCCTAATATGTATGACAATATAATGTAGTAGATATACAAATTATTTCTAACAAATATGTTGTAGCAATATGATCTGTCAGACAAACTGGATTTTGCTCTCCCTGCAGGACAGTTGCCAGGTTGATAGATTTAGCTTCAGATTTGCTTGATTTACACTCCCTTAAACTTGCTTTAGTCTGAGTAGGCTGCCGTATTGGCACTTCTCATTGACTGTGGAATACATCCAGAACAGTTTCTCTTGTCCATGTGTTATCCATTAACAGAATGGAACATGGTAACCTACTTTAGACCCTGGGGACAAATCTTGACTCTCTTCTGCACACCTCTCAACGTTTCTCAAGAACTCATTTATTTTTACTTCAGCTTGCTACTCGTGTACATGTCTTTTAACAGAGCCTTTGACGCAAAAGAGAAGCCTTGCTTAGGAGAGAGAGTGTTCTGGAGTGTTTATTCCTACACAGCTTTTCTTCTCTTACTGCAAATCTACACCTAAATTGCATTTATGGTAGTGCAGAGACATGCACAGCCTGAGTTTTCTGTGTCATTAGATCTCGGAGTTCCTATGAAACACCTGTGTTCTTTGGTTTCTGACACCCGATGCTTTCTATGATCATTTTGGGGGAACTTTTCAAAGTTCTGAATTTTGGAGAGGCTGGACAAAATTAGTTTTATTTGTGAGGTAGCCTTGTTATTGTCCAAAGGTGTTTAAATTTAAATTAAAACCAGCAAGACCACACCCTTTAAGTCTGGGGAAGAGGAGGGTATAATCCTGATATATAATAAGTTAAGAACACATTTGAGATCAGCTGGAACTTACTAATTGCATGCATATTCCTCAGCATTGTACACTGCCTCACCTTTTAGTAGCCGTAGCTACGATGTAGGCACATTGCAGGAGATGCTTATATGGCTTTGAATTGAAGTAGTGTAAGCTTAGTAATGAGACAGGCATCTGCTCTAAAACTGCTTGTCTATTGGAGATCTCAGTAAGGCTCATTAAACAACTCTTTCCAACAGAGAAGGTTTCAGTCCTTCTTCATCTTGTATATAGTATGAAGTGGTTTTCCTCTCTAGCAGTCATGGTACATCTTTAGCATACATGAGTACTTTACATCTTTGAGTCATATGAAATGATCTTAAGCACTGAAATGCAACTGTTGGACAGCTTCACTTTTAAGAAGAGCCTATAGCCAGCCTGTCAGAGAAGGAAACCGTTCTGAGAGACTCACCTTACTTCTGCACGTATTCTGGACCATAGTGCTCCATTCTATATTGATGTTTTGGGGATTTGAATGTCATTGCATCAGACACATTCTTTCTTTGTCTCCAGGAAAATCACTGAGTCTATTTAAAAAGGGAGTACCTTGCATGTCTGCATCCCTTTTACTTCCAACATGATCAGTCAGATGACTTCCATTAGCTTTTTTTATTCTTCCTTCATGTAACTTTTGTTGTATAGGTGTAGCTAAGCTTTTCTTATGGAGGATTGTAGTTAAAAGCTGTATAATAGGGACAAATGAAGCAAAGCATCATTAAATATCTAAATGTAAGGATTTTGGTTCAAATTAGCCAGAGGCAAGCAAAATTATGGAGACTGCTATTACTCCTGTACCTGCAGAAGCATTCTACAAATACTGGGGTAGAGAAGAAAAAGAACATGCCTGGTGGATTTCAGATTGTATCCCTGACCTCTGTGTAGCTTTTGCTTAAGATATTAGAAGCATATCCAAGTAACCAATTATGTGTCTTATCATTTAGACAGCACTTTTTTTGTCTTCCACAGATCAAGATTCTTGATCAGAGTTGGGCATAATGCAGGGAAAAGTATTTAGGAAAAAAAAGCAGCAAGGGATTGTGGGCTATGTCAGTGGGAGGAGACATCTATTAAAGAAAGAAATGAGGAGAGCTTGCATTATGCTGCAACTTTTTGACTTAATTTTCAAATTTTATTTTTATTTAGCACAAGAGTTTGTTTCAACATGGAAGATGACATAGAAAAATAATGAAACAATAATGAAATGGCTTGTAAGTTATTGCAGGTCTACTAGTAGGAACAGGTTATGGGGGTTTTTTTTGCTTTCACTGCATATTTCTGCATTTCAAGATACATTGATAACGCATATAAACTTTGTATTCAGTAGCTATGAGCTTTAATACTCTTCTCATTCATTTGGTCATAGAGAGCCATTTGTTTTTGTATAATCAACCTTTTAATGTGGGTACTGCACCTTTAATGAAAGCCTTGACATGTTTTGTTTTCAGTGTTCTTTTCATTGTGTTCATATTTTGATAATTATCACTATTCATTAATGAAACTGGAAAAGTAATTGTGACATTATAGCTATTCATAACATCTTTTTTTATGTCTTAGATCTCATTTCTATTTTCTTTTTACAAAAGAAAGAAGAGAGAAGATTAAAACTACAAAAAAGGTGTTTTGCTTGAATGAAACTTATCTTCTGGGATCTTAAAATTTTTATAATGTATTGAGAAATCTTTGTCAATGTTTTTTCCTGTCTCATATAGACCATTTACAGTAATTGGGCTAAGTAATGTGATTCATAGGTTGTAAATGGCCAACAGTTAATCTTATTTTTACTTGCATAAAGATTAAATAGGAAGTAAACAGTAAACGAAAGAGTAAACAGTAAAATAAGAATTCTTCAGAGCAACAGTCATTATTCCTATTAACATGTTCAGTTACCTTCTTAAACCAGTGTTTTCTTGAGAAAACCCAGTAGAGAATATATTATTGTAAGTAATTTATTCAAACATGTTAATATTCAAGCATAAGGTAAGGTTCAGTTTACGGTCAGAAAGCACCTGCTTTCTGTGGGATACTGAGTGTTTGAAGAAGAATTGCTAAAATGCAGGATATAAGAAAATGGGAAATCTGGGGTCTGTTCCCAATTTAAATAATATTAAGTAAATTTAAGGAAAAGTTGTACTTACTTTGAATTTTATAGATCTTTAATATTCATCTTTTATTTTTAGTTACTTCATTGCAGCTGAAGGAGGAGTTACTAGATGGAGAAGAGTATAGCTTCCTTCAAGGAGCATCTGATCAGGAAAGCAACGGATCTGCCAGTTACTACATCAAACAGGAACCATAAGGCAGCTCAGAAAAGTGAGGGGCAGAGTATTGGTGATAGGAAAAGAGCCTTTCTCCAAGACTGACTGATTTTGTTCCCACTTCGATGGTACAGTTCAGGTGACTGTACCTGGGGCACTTTGCTAACTGTAGATGAGTTAGACTCAGTTCAGAATTTTTTGGAAGGGCGGGGAAACTATTTTAGTGAAAAAGATTTTTCAATTTATTAAAAACAAAAATGGACACTTTTGTGTTGTATTTGAAACTTTTGAAAGAATTTTGTAATATTTTCAAGTTCAGATTTATTGTGCATTGTTAACAAGAACTGAAATTCTAATTTTTTGGTAAGATTAAAGTTTAATTAGCATGATTGTGGGAAGCGGTTGGAGGAAGATATAGTTGCAAATACAAATGAACTGTCATAACAAATGAACCTTTTTGGTACAAGTTGGGAGACTTTTAGACTCTTGTGAACTGCACTGGTCACGCCTCTGTTTTTTTATTGTGAAAATAAGGCATTTAAGCCCTAATTTAGAGGCATAAATTGTATGTGGAAGATAGTCCTGTAAAGCTCTACTCAGTGAGTAGCCCCAATTGCAATGGAGCCATCGCCTGAGGAAGATTTTAACTTTTCAAGATGTTTTTATTTAGTTTAAAATACTTTTTTTTATATAAGATTTTTTTTTTTTAAAGTTCCTTAGGGTCTGATTCGGTGCCCATTAATAACAGTAGCCTTGTCTCCGTTGACTGCAGTGGGCATTGGATTGGGACTATGAAGCTTTTGTCCGTACATGAATGTCTGTAGTCTTGGCATGCTTCAGCAAACGTTTACAGAGCCCTATGCCAAACTGGAACTTCAGAAAATTCCCTCATTTGGAAGATTAGTTTTAGCTATGAATTTAGACACCAGAGGAAACTTAGACGGACAGTAACTCGGGCCTCCCTTGGTAGTGGGAAGGAACTTCTGAGTATTCTTCTGATTTATTTTTTTCCATTCAGAAAGACCTAGATGTTTCCGTACTATCTTAAATATTTATTTGTGAACATTCAAAACCGATGTTCCACTTGGTTTCAGGTGAGCTAAAAGGAGCCATACATTGTGGATTAAAAAATAAGTTCAGTTCTGCACAGCCTGCAATATTCTTTTCTTGCCGCAATAGTGTAATACAGAAGTTGAGACTTGAGAACAGTATATAAATCATACACTGTCTAGTGTATAATTCATAAACTGGATTTGCTTATTGCCTGGAATCCTTGTGTCTCACTTCAAGTATCCCATTAGCCCCACCTGCTTAACTGTCCAGATTTTTTAAAGGCAAAAGTCATGTAAAAGGATGAAAATGACTACCAGTAAAATACAAAGTATTTTAGCATGAGCTCTTAATAATTTGGATTTTATCTTTCCATATTTTTAAACTTTGTACATTTTTGTAAATGATCTCATTCATGGAGTTGATTAGTAAAATGGTTAATCAACCCTGCAGAGCTGTGACTGGAAAAATGTGCATCAAGAGCTTTAGCTTTTACCAGTAAGGTTCATTAACTAAACTCTCAGGAATTAACTGCATATGTTCTATAAGTGCTTCTGGGTCTTAGCAGGTCCCCTTCAGAGCAGTACAACGATCATCTGACTCTTGACCATAAATTAGGGCTTAAAAAAAAAATTAATCAAAATGATTAACATCTATGTTCCTACAGCCTAAGAAATGCTTTAAAGATATCAACCCACAGAGCCCCAGGAGACCATTTTTGTATATTGTTGTTTGAGCTTAAAAAAAAAAAAAAGTGCATAGAAAGTTGAAAACCAGCAATTTGTTTATTTTCTAAAATATTGCTCTAACTTTGGGTACATAGTATTGGTAATATGCACAGGTTTACCTCATTCTATGCAAGAGGGGTTAATTATGTAAAGTTTTGTATTTACTACTGGAAGTAAAAAATGTCCTGTATAGTGTAGGAATGTCTGGAATTCTTTTCTCCCTTGCTGGTAAAATTTCTTAAATAATGACCCCTTTTTAACAACAACTTCTTATATTGACAGAATCTGGTTCTCAGATTATAAGTGTCTGTAACTTCAGGTGGTAAAGACATTTTAGCTCTCTAAAATAGCCATAAAAAGGACTTTGTCAGGCTTGGTAGACTTCAAATACATTCTCTCAAATTCTGACCCACCCATGACGTTTCTTTTGAACAGCCTGGATTGGAGAAGTAGGATTAGAGACCATTGTAATGACACTTTAAGCCTTGATTATTTTTTTCCTGTGTTCTCAATTTAACCTGCTGTAAAGTCCAGCTCTGCAAGCATCAATTTGGCTTGGTAAGTACATCACTTGATTTTTTTTTTTTTTTTTTTTTTTTTAATTCAACAACTTGCAGATTGTCCCAGTCAGGGTTCGCACAATCTTGTTTTCTTCTCTCATCAGTAGCTTCTGACTTCAGTAGAAAAACTGTTGCACTAATTCGTGCTTCATAATGTGAAAGCTTGGTCTAGTCACTAAACCTTGGCCTCTGTGTATTGCCCGGGCTCGTACCTGATTTCTGAGTTACAGTCTTCAAATGTCAAGAGGGAAAATTAGCACTTAAGTTGAACACACTTCCTGTGTTGGAGAAATGTAAGAATCGGATTTGAAGTCTGTCAGTCTTTATAATGTTCTTTAAAAATAGGTATTTTATTCATTAAACACTAAAGTATGAGTGAGTTGACATGCATTCTCAGATACACGTGACTTCAGTAGGAGTTCTGTGTTGAGATTTATGAGTGAAATTTCTCTTGTGTTTCTGAATTCAAAATATACCTAATTGTGTAATTGTCAAGTACAGTGAAATCTGTCCTAAGCAAACCACATAAAGAACTAATTGAAGTCACTTGCTTAGGGAGAGGTTTAAGGAGAACCTGAGCAAAATCCCACCAGCTATTTAGAGAATGGTCTCTTCCAAGAGTGGGTTACCTGTTGGCTGTGGTATCCACAGTATAGGCTTCACTGTATTTGTAAAGCATTCGTTAGTAACATGGCTCTAGGTATTTTTGTCTTTATTTTATTCTAAGTCATGTTACTTGGCTAAAAAGAGCAGCAAAGTGTTGGACATCTGAAATCTTCAATGGGGTCAAACTAATTTCAGTATTTGGCACAGCAGGTTTTTATAACCGTAAGGTAGCGCAAGTTATGTACCTTTGCAGCTACCCTTCTTTTACGCTCAAAATCTTTCTGCTGATCTTTGATTTTTATGTTATTTTAAATACAACTCTTTAACCTTTTCCTTGCTGCATCTGAGGAAAGCTAAAGCAGTTATCAATTCCTTGTTCTACGGATACTAACACGGGTTTCAGTGTTTGTTTGTTTTTTTTATTGTTGTTTTATGTGATGTGAATACCCTCTCCCGTCAATATTTGTATGATGGTGCTAATATATTTGGTAACAATCCTTTATTGGGAAGGGATTTTAAAAAACTGTGATTTAAACTGAATTTTTCTTCCTTTTAGTTTTCGTATTTAAAACAAAAAGCCACAGCCATTTATACAAAAAAGGCATCAGCTTTGGCCCCTGGGAAGATGTTGGGGCGGGAATCAAGATTAAACAAATGGGGTTTTTACATCATTTCTGTATGTATTTGATATATAGATCAATATCTGTACAAATTTAATCTTTTATTTTCTTGGTAATTTGTGTGGTCAATGAGAGAGAGTATTTAAAGCTTTCTCATGCAATGTACCTAAGTGAAAAAAAATGCTTTTGGAGAAATTAATGTTACTTTCATTTTTATGAGATTGCAGATTTTCAGCATGGATGTGAAAAGCATTAAAATTATAACTTTGTGTACAAGATGAAAATAATTCACTAAATTTGCCTTTTTTACACAAAATAAAAATGATAAAAAGTCGTCTTCTGAATAGTGATCGTTTTGTTTAAAAGGCACTCCTTGCCACATACAGAAAATGCACTCCAGCATGTTTCTCTCCTTAAGAGAATGCAGGTTGAAAAATTCGTAAAACCATGAATGTTTGGGGGATGTAATGGGGATGTTAGTCTGAGCACAACTAAAGCACGAGAGGCTCCAAGCGCAAGGTAAGGTTTTTTAATATGAGAAGAAGGTGGCATTAGATATGCATTTAATAGAGAGCAAGCTTTGCACTTGGTCTCATATTTCACAGTTGGCATTAGTAGTTGTGTAGGGAAGGAAATCTTGTCATTTTTCTTCTAGTTCAGTTCTGCTATGTTGGAAGTAGCTCAAGCATCCCTTCAACTTTCCCTCTGCAAGTTGGCTTTGCAACTGTAATGTATTTCAGAAGCCTTCAAAGCAACTTTTCAATGAACAAAAGTCACTGAATTTTTATTCTGATATGCCTGTACATGGAAGCTTGTGTTAACTCTTCCTTCTACAAGAGGAAAATAACTGAACGACTGAGTAAAATTACTTATGTGAATATTTGAACACAGTAGTCTGTTTTATAGTGAATGCACCACAATGAGTTAGTTCATATCCATTTATTTGACAGTGCTGAAAATTACTAAGATAACCGTGGTGGTAATTGCTCCCAGGTCAATAGCTGGAATGAGATGATGTGTTCCAAAGGCACAATTCATTGTGGAAACTCATTTCACTCATAAATCCAATCATGTGCACAAGATTTGAAGTCAACAAGCTCTGCAGGTTTGAACCACAGGTTGATCTCCTTCTGCGCGCTTTCTACAGAGTCACTGCCGTGAATGATGTTTCTGTGGAAGGAGACAAATGCATTGTTCCGTATAAAAATACACTTTCAGCAACCTAGTAGTTCTCTATGTGCAAAAACTTGGATGAAGCATCTAGAGCTGCAAGACTACTATTTCAGGTACAGCATTCAAATACCTCCTCTATAAGAGCTAGTTAAGCCTAGCAGGGTGACTAGGACTACTTTACTACAACAGCCTCTGCCACTGACTGATCTTACATGAAGCTCTGATGAGGAGCTCTATTTCAAAAAAAGTCCGTTTTGTACCAAGCCATTTTCTTAAGTAGCAGTTAGGGAGTGTGACCTGCAAATAAAATACCATCAGACTAGGATATCTACCAACAATTTTGACTTTCTAGAATAAAAGACTACTGCCGTAAAGTTTTTAATCTCAATTGATAAACTGAGCACAAACCTTCCTACTTGAATGCAGAAGTCACCACGGATGGTACCAGGCTTAGAGTCTGCAGGGTTTGTTTCCCCTAGCATTACTCTCCCAGTTTTAACCACGTTGAGTCCTTCCCATACCTTAAGGAAAAAAAGACAAACAAATCCTATTAATCCATGCTTATACAAAATAACAAAGATTAATCTGTGCTAATAACATACTTTGCAAAGAAACAAGGGCTCCCCCACTAAAAAAATTAATCTACCTAGATTCTGTCTTAGGCCTGTAAAGACAACTAGGCAAAAAACGTGTAAATGGAAAGCAATTATAAAAAGAACTATCAACATTGTCACTCCAGTAAAGAAGATACTTTACCAAGCCTCAAAGTTAACTGATGTACAAGGCCAACTTCGAAACCTTTCTGCAGTGACAGGATAAGGACAGCCTGATGAGTTCAGGCACTCCTAGTTAGGTACCTAGTCAAAACAGAGGGAGACGCTACCAGGGCAACTTTTTTGTTCTGGGGGGAGTGCAAATAAGAATGACACAGAAGATGGGTTTCTGTGGGAGAGCCCTGGCCCTTTTTTGCCCAAAACAAAAGATTCTTTGGTGCAGAAGACTGACTTTCGGGAATTTTGCTTAATCCATGCTAAGCATTTTAGTATGTATTTTATACATGCACACTTCTTGCTAATAAATAGTAACTTCTTACTTGTCTTCATTTTACTTTTGGTTTTCTTTTGCCACTATCAGAACTGGGTAGTTTGAAAAAGTGTTTCCATAACAGTATATCTGAATATTTTAAAATAATTTACAGAGTGAGAAAAATATATTCGAGAAAGTAGTCTTTAAGTAAAATCAAGCCACTTACCATGGCCACAACAGGTCCGGAGTTCATGTATTTAACCAGACCAGGGTAGAATGGTCGGTCTTTGAGGTCAATGTAATGTTGTTTGAGAAGGTCTTCAGAGGCCTTTAAAAGGACAGATGTAACATTAAATATCACTTTCAAAATACCATACCACAAAAGGTGTTACTACTGTAAGACTACAGCATTAGTGACTGGATTCACCAGTCACTAATATTATGAACAGTCGCTGCAATGCTATTGTGGGTTTCAGTGAAAGTTCCTAATGTAGAATTAAAGGAGTGCACAACACACCATCTTTCTTTGTACTAGTCAATGTTGCGAGTTGTCAAAATTATTTCTTTGCATTACAGTAATCCTCAGCAATAAGCTGAGCACAAGATGTCTGGATGATGTTACCTGATACAACTGTTCAGTCAAGGTCATTTCAGCTCTCTTAATTAGGTTGCAGTAAGCCATCCGAGCAAATTTGGTTTCCTTAGGAAATGAGAGCGATCATGCGTTTGGGCTTGATAGAAAGCTTGGCCTGACATGCGATCCCGTACTTCCAGCTGTTGTGCAAATTCAGCATCAGGTTCCCATTCTGATGCAGGAAAAGCCGCATAGGAAGATGTATATACCTAAGTGCCTATTCTGGCAGGCGAGGGAAAGCGTTCAGGGCAGAGCCGGGGCAAGGGCGACGCCCCGGGCGCGGGGACTTACGTGCACGAACTTCATGGCCACCAGCCGGAAGCCCTTCTGCTCGAACCGCTTGATGATCTCCCCCACCAGCCCCCGCTGGACCCCATCGGGCTTGATGGCGATGAAGGTGCGCTCGCAGTTGGCAGCCATCGCGCTGCGGGGCAGAGGGACACGCAGGGGTGAGGCTCGGCACCGCC